GGGCGATCTCACATAAAGTGGTTTTCAGAACGGCCCTGTGGAAAATATTATAAAAACGTAAAAGCTATACAAAACAATGCTACTCAAACGTAAAAGATACGATGTACATAAAATATGATAAAATTAAGGCCTGCGTTACTATGGGACATTCGCTCTCTTTATTAGCCAATCACAGTGTTATATTTTACATGCCTTAGTCGTATATCAAAAACGCTACAAAATACCTGATTTTATGTCATTAAAGATATGTCTATTATTCATCGTGATGTAGGATAGGACAGATGAATTTTACTCGTTTGGCTCACGATGGAGTCACAGGCGATCTGATGAAGACTAGCAGTAGAGCAGTCGAAACGTCGCGATCAACATCTTCAAACCGTCTTCCACTCCCATAAAAAATACTTACTTGCAGTCCCCACGTTCTTCTTCCTCTAAGATAAACTCATCAAATGAAATGTTCAGCGCCATGCCTTGTGCGATAGGAATAGAATAAACACAGTGCAAATCACTTGGGTAATTGTTTGGATATCCGGGACTTTTTAGAGAGTTGTTCACCACAGAACCACATCCTGTAAGAGGAAAAAAAAATATTCATGCTTTGAATCTGTCTTGCTTGCGAGAACATTGGTCAAATTATTATTTTATATCTTAATAAATCAAAGAAATCAACGAAGGACTAAATGAAAAGCATGTGTTGTTGGCATACTTGCTCGACACATAAGGTTATTTAATTTGATTTCTTTAGAAAACGTTTAACCGTATATGTCCGGCTGACTGTAAAAAGAAAGATTCATATCTCGAAATTTCCGTATAAGTTGAGATATGAGAAATTTCAAGAAAGTTAAAAGAAATAATGTTTCATACCGTGCTGTAAAGCAAAAGAGCTATCCTGCTTCCTCCACGTAAACAACAGAACGAGTAGAACGAAAAAGAACTTCAAGTTGCAGGGGAACTTGTCCTTCATCGTCCTTTCATAAGGATATATTCTTCCTGCAAAGATAAAGGTTGATAAGGAGAAGAAAAGAGTTTTGTTGTGAAAAATGCCCATTTAAACTACTCAAGGACAAGATAATGAAATGTTCTTACAATTTGCTACAAAGTAGATTGAAGTTGCAACTTTGATGGGAGGTCTTTTCAGGCACAAAATATATTGCAATGATTTTCTTCAGCTAAGTGACCATTCGTCACTTAAGCTAACTACAATAGCTTATGACATGACGTAATATGGAAAAACAAGGAGCTTAATATCGAGGAACAATTTAAAACAAATTTCTTTTTGACGGCGTTTTATTGAGTTTCAGAACAAAACATCTGCCCTTTTTTGAGTTTCTCATCACTGGTCAGACACGTATTATGAGACTCCTTTTAGACAAACTACCTCCCATGTGGTTCGTTAATTCGTCCTTTCTTGACCATGTTGTTGTCAAATATTCCACAGCAGATGTTATTAAAAAAGAGATTTTGTCATATTTTATCTAGTATGACTGATTCTAAAATTATAGGAACTGCAAGGATCAAATTCAAAATTCTCTGAAATATGTAAATGATCATTATTTTCTCGGGCATATAAAACATAAGTTAACCTTTAAAGCATTGATTGTATGGTGGCCATCGCTGTGGGACAAATCTTTCATGAAATTTAATTATTTTAGGAATAGGCCTTCTCCGGTACACGATTGAAAACTAGATAAACACAGATCTAAACTGAAAAGTAATCACTTTTTGGCTGTTAAATTGGGTAGATCTTAGTAAGTAAAGAGCGACTAGGCATAAAATACTACTTTACTAGCTCCTGCAGCTTTGAGTAAAAACTAGTTTTACTGAAGATGAAGAGGAGATTTTCAAACCTTCTGCCTGCTTTATGTTGAGACAATGATGTACTCTTGCATCCGTTCCCTTTGTCACGGTTTCTAGAGATCATTTAGTGAATTCAGTCGCACTCCCACTAAACTACATCTCGTCAATCATGTAGTAATAGCATTTCTAACTGTGGAGTAGTTTTTCAAAACTTCCATAGTTTCCATTTAAATGAATTTTTTGTTTAAATTTCTCCAATTCGCAGAAGTGTGATGAAAAATATAATCCCCGAATCCTTTGTGGTATTGGCAACAAAAAACGTGTTCATCATTTTAGCAAAGATCTGAAAAAAGTCTATTGGTTTCTTGAATACGATAGGAACTAGTGACGAAAAGAAGACCCCATAAGCTTTTGGCTCTCAACGTTTCGTTGACATTTCACACCTTGTGAATGCGGGAGACGAGAAGACAGTGATTTTATCAACCAAGGAACACAAAAGATCCTAAGTGCTTCTCAGGTTCTTGACATTTGTTGTTGAAGTAGTAAGGCCAAGATTTGTTTTTCGCTTTTACCGCACCTAAATAATTTGAAAAAAGTTGATTAGATCAGAGGTCCTGCCAACTGTTGTGATTTGCGAATGGTTTGATGTCGCCAGATTGTTGGCCGCGTTTGGGGACTGTAAAATAACTAATCGTATTTTTTTTTGGATCAGTTTCTAGTTACGCTTCGGGCAGCATATCAGGTTTGTTTAGTTGGCTACTCAGGCTAGACTACGTCTTGCCAAGATATGAACCATAAAGGAGAAACGAGCATATGGAAAATGTGTTGATAGGAATTCAACAAGATCCCTCCCATCGAGACTCAACCTCGCCAAAATAGCCTTTTTACGCACAAAAAAAGACTCTACTGGATTCTCCCTCATGGCTGGACTTATTATACCGAAGTATTGAAACATTTGGTCTCAAAAGCTGTCAAGAGCTCGAACTAAAATCTCATAACGAAAAAAGAATTATTACGTTAACCGTAGCTAAGTGTCTGGTTTGAATGAATAAATTATTTTCAAAGTACGTGATGTTGTCCATTGGTAAAATTTGGAGTGAGACTTTTATCTGCAATCATCGAACAAACTCGGCTATAAGCTATTTACAGCTGTTTCGACAAATTTTGGCGTAAAAGCCTACGCGACAATCCTGATTGGTATTATGTGCAGTATTAGTTTGGCGTTCCCTTTTGAGGTTCACGGTGTTTCACCTAGAAGGAAGGACGAAGCATGAATATACGTGCTGTGCTGTTTCCTTCTATTACGCTGAAACACCTTGAGCTTCAGTCAAGCAACCGTAAACCACCATTACCCACAATACCTTTTGATATTGCCGAGACCGCTTTTGCGCTTTTGTAGGACAATGGTTGTGTGCTGTGTATTGTATCTTACCACAGCTATTCCTCGTCAAAGAATGCTCTCGACCGGAAGGAAACTCCCGGATAAACGTCACAAAGTTGTTTAAATTTGCAGTTTGGTATCGCTTTAGCTATCGAATTTACATTAACCAATGCTAAAATACCCATTTCCGAGTTACCTTGTGCCTCTGTTTCATAACGAGTCCCCGTGCAAAACCTTTCATATGAAAATGAGTTTGATTTGCATGAAAATGAACCTCTGCGTGGAACTCATTTGCATATGAACGATTTTGCACGGAGACTCGTTTTGACAAAGAGGCAAAAGACAACTCGGAAATGGCCAGTAGGCCACTTTCGATCTATTCAAATTTAGCTTGATAGCCTAGAGGACACACACAAAAGAAATGAATAAACATGGTCATTCAATTTCCTTTGTTTGTGTCCTCTAAGCCTCACCGCCAAGCTGAATTTTAATACATCGAAAACGGTCTATATTGATCCGGTGCTTTTCAGGCTATTCGTACCAGTCCCTTACTAAGCAAGTGTAAATAAGAGCTTTGCATCTCATTTCAGCCCAGTTTGCTTCGCTTCGTAACCGCAAGTGTTGTACCCTATGCCGGATGATGAAGTTCTCGTCCCTTCTGCTTGCACTGTTCCTGATTCATTCAACTGAACTAAACGCGTACAGCAGGTCCATTTTATGGACACCCACTGGAACAACAAAACTTTTTATTGTGATTTGTTGCTTTCAGTCGTTTACGAGCTTGATTTCTGCGCACTATTGTCCCTTACCACCGAAACAGGTAGATTGTTTTTTTTTCGGAGACGCGCGAAATAGTTGCCGCTGTCGAGAAACGTATTTGAATTAAGCCCACGTGGTCTATAACTGACGCCAAATAGGTAAGCGCACGTGATCACATCCCTTCACGTTCCTGAGGCAAGCCAGAAAACACCTGGCGATGGCGGGTTTTTCCGTAAGTA